GGTGGGCGGAAGGCTCTGTCCCAAATCGGTTCCACACAGAAATCATAAAACCTGCAGACAGGCCCCTCACTAGAAATAGTTTTATGCTGCACTTAGGGACACCTAGACGCCACCAGGCGAGGGCTAAGGTGAGCCTCTTACTAGCGGGACGGTTGGATACTCCTCTCTGAATGAACCCTAGCCCAAACTGCACTGGCCCATAACCAGTGCATAGATCACATGGCTGCCCGGCCCACTCCTTTCCAGCCAGTCCCATACCTACCGGAGGGTCAGCCACTCTGCCCACCGCCTCCCTGGAGAACCCTTAGTAGTCACCCGGACCTCTCCGTGGCCAGAACCCGGGCTGCAAGTTTGAGGCTGGCAATTCGACAGCAGTGCCTCAAACACCTGCACTGGAGTCCCAGTCCGGCATGTGCTTCCGGTGGACGCCAGCCAATAGCAGGCCAGGCTCCATCCGCACTGCTGATTGGCTCCCAGATCCCGCAAGTTGGCAACTCTCGCAGGAACTTAAAAATGGAGTTTCTGGGCAGTCGCAGGCTGAATCTAAACGTGGCAAGGTGAACGTCTTTTGAGTGCAGCAGCCCCAAGCCCATCTTTTGTTTAACTTTTGCCTAACCAAAGAGTTGTTATCTATGCATATTGACCTCGTGTTCCAGTTCTTGCTTGAAGCAGGGTCTCAACGTTTTATGAATGGTCCATTAGCATTTGATTGCAGGAATCATACCGTGTCATCAAAAGAATGAAACGAATACTTACGATGGGCAAGTAAGTCACTGTGCTAAGCAACTTGGACAAAAACTGAACTGTAGCTCCAATTTTCTGAGTTACAATTCAGCTGGGAGAAGATTTAAATACATTAAAAGTTAGATCACTGTAAATGATTATAAATGTTATTATAAATGAGATACATTAGAAAAAATACAATAAGAACTGACACCCAGGTTGCAAGCTGCGTGCTAATTGCAAAAAAAAAATGATATAAAGTACGAATAGAAACAAAGACAATTAGAACTGAAGGAGCAAAGAAAGGAGATATGGAGGGAAGAACTGAAAAAGCTACAAGAAGATGAGAGTTTTGAAGGCGAACAGGTCAAAGTTAAAGTTGTATTTAGGAAAACGTGAGAAAGGAAAGTTGCTTACCCGTGGTTACATAATTCCTTCAGTGAGACATGAGTGGTAAGGGGACAGAGAAATAGGAGTATTAAAATAATTTTTAAGTAAGTCAAAAAAGTGAGGCTCCTGAGTGGCTCAGTCGTTAAGCTTCTGCGTTGGGCTCAGGTCATGATCCCAGGGTCCTGGGATGGAGCCCCACATCGGGCTCCCTGCTGGGGGGGAGGGGGGAAGCCTGCTTCTCCCTCTCCCACTCCCCCTGCTTGTGTTCCCTCTTTCGCTGTGTCTCTCTCTGTCAAATAAATAAATAAAATCTTTAAAAAAAAGAGTTGGTTCAACAAAGTACTTGTAATAGGGAAAATTATGTGTATTAGATAAGTAGGACGTTTTCCATAGTCTAGGTCTCCAGAGCTCTGTCCAATGTACTTTATGATTGAAATGTTCTACATGGGCACTGTCTACTAGCCACGAGTAACTTGAAGTGTGGTTAATGCAACTGGGTAACTGAAATTTTTATTATTTTAATTATAGTTCATTTTAATTAATTTAATTAATTTTTATTTTAATTTAAATAGTCACAATTACCAGATGGTTGAATGAAACTATTCTAAGTGGTACCTATGAATCTGTTCTATGATCAACATATTTAAAAGATATATGTCATCAAGTTGAATGAAAAGGGGGGTGCCTGGGTGTTTCAGTTGGTTAAGTAGCTGCCTTAGGTTCATGTCATGATCCCAGGGTCTTGGGATCGAGCCCCAGTTGGGCTATCTGCTCAGTGGGGAGCCTGCTTCTCTCTCTCCCTCTGCCACTCCCCCTGCTTGTGCTCTCTCTCTCTCTTTTTCAAATAAACAAATAAAATCTTTAAAAAAAAAGTTGAATGAAAAGGACCAGGTTGGAGGGAGGGGGGGAATCAGGTGTTAAATATTATTCTCAAACTCAAACAAAGACATGCAAACTCAAGAAAAGGAAGGAGATTACCATTTCTCTAGTGCCTTCCACATGCCAGTGTAGGTGCATGAATACATTATTAGTAGCTAGTAGCCTTACAGCTGGAAAAAATGGACACTCTGGACCTTATTCATACAGAACAATCTGAAAATTACTAATTGATCACCAATACATATCAGTGGTAAAGGCTATTTAAAAATTTCAAATATGGCAAAACATTTTTACTTAAATATAATGTATGAAGACTAATATTGATAACCAGTAAATATCATTGTAATTATATCATAGTTTGAGAACTTTTGGAAAACAATGACAAGAATTTATGATTTTCTCCTTGCATTTCAAAAATAAGTAACAATGTCATCTCTTGTTTTTTTAAAAAAGAAATTTATTAAGAATTTTGGAAGAAAAACATCAAGGGAAAATGATTTCATGTGAAATCAACAAGTGTTATCATTCTAATAATTGTACATTATAGGCTACATGTTGTAAAGCCTTGAAAAAAATTTTTTTAAGATTTTATTTATTTACTGGACAGAGAGAGACACAGAGAGAGAGGGAACAGAAGCAGCGGGAGAAGGAAAGGGAGAAGCAGGCTTCCCGCTGAGCAGGGAGCCCGATGTGGGGCTCAATGTGGGGCTCAATCCCAGGACCCTGAGATCATGACCTGAGCCGAAGGCAGACGCTTAACGACTGAGCCACCCAGGCACCCCAAGCCTTGAAAAAATTTAATCTGCTAATGCACAGCACATCTTTTCTCTACTATAACACCAATTAATAATCATTGTTTCAAACCTCAGAATTTTTAGCTGTTTTAGCTACATGTGTTTCATGTTCAAATATGATTTTATATGATTTGACATATGGCAAAACTATCATTATCGAGTGATAAAAAATGTTCTATAGTTGATTGTGGTGATGGTTGCACAATGCTGTGAACATACTAAAAACCATTTAATTGAACATTTTAAATGGATGAATTGTATGATATATGAATTGTATCTCAAGAAAACTGTTTAAAATAAATGGATGGAGAAGTCATAAAGCCATTAGAGAAAGTAAATTTATTATTTTCCTTGCATATGTGGTTATTTCACATGATTGATAAAGAAATTTTGCTTTCCTAGCATCTCCCGATATTTCTCTTCCTGGTTTTGTTTTATTCATCTTTTATCTCTTCTTTAAGAAAAGAAATTAACTGCTCTAAACATCAGCCTCAAATTTTCAGCATACCAATCAGTAATTTTGTTTCACAAAGAATGAAAATTGCCCAGTCTGTACAGTTCAAGAAAATTATACATTTTCCACTAGGTGGCACTGGTGTGCAAATAGTGTTGCTAGAATCTTCAAATTCTCACATCAATAAAATTATTAACATTGCCACATTGTTTTCATTCACTTTGATTGATCTGGGTAAGACAAAGAGAAGTGGAAAGTTAAAACAAGATACTTCCTTGACTTGCTAAGCTCCAGGGTAAACAGAGTCCTTACTCCACAGATACAGGATGTAAAGCAAGGAGAAATTATCATAATCTTGTTATGCTAAAGCCAGAGTGAGAACCCACAATCCCTGACTCTTAGTTGCTGTCATACAAGTGTACAATATCAAAAGTGGGGGAATGGATACCCTAGTCAAAGGGAACAAGAAAATTCATCTCCATTGTTCCATTGTACACATATTATCTCATTTGATCCCTAAGCTATGAGCTCCATATATATTATCTCATAAAATCCTAAGTATACAAACTCAATCTATTAACTTCGTAAGAGAAAGAGAATGATCATTTTGTTTAATACTATATCGCTTGAATATAGCACAGTGCCCAACACATAGTAGACAGTCAAAAACATTTAGTCCTCAAATAAATGGATGAATTAACTGAGTTTAACAACTACCCCATTTAGTGGGTAATACTATTTCTCCTTGCAGCTGAGGAAACTGAAGTTGGAAATATGAAGTGACTTGTCCAAACATACAATTCAGTGGCGAAACCATTTAACACAATCAGACATTATTTTGCACTATATATTTACATGTAAGTTTTCCACAATAGAAAGAAAGCTCTCTGAGGGCAGGGATCATGTTTTTCCTTTTCCTTATTGTTGTGTCTAGCTCCTTACACAGAGCTGACACGCAGGTGGCACACAATAAATAGTATTTATCTGTTTAAGTTCAAAGCAACCCAGATCTTAGCAGCCTGGACTTGAACTTTCAAAGAGCTCTGCTCCTGGACCACTTTTCTGTTTCATTCTTTTCATTTTATTCTAATTCCACTACAAAATCCAGATCTTGTTTCTGGATTTCTCCTAGTTTCCCACTACCTCTCCTCAAGTCTCCTATAACAGAAGTCTTAGAAGTAAGTATGCATTCCCACTTTGCTTGCCATTAAGATTTCTCCTAGTCCTAGAGCTGAGCAGTCCACCCTTTCAGCCTTCAAATCCCCAGGGGTGCCTGTGGGAGTTGAGCAGATCAGCGGACAGAGATGGTTCTGGTTTTGGCTCTGTTATTTGTACCCCTATTATCTTTGGCTATTCCAAGGGCCTCGATTTCCTCACCCCAATTTTCTCAACAAATGAGGCTGGAATTGGATTATCTCAGAAGTTCTTTATAGCTCTAAAGGCTATAGGGTTTTTAACTTTATCCTGTAATGGTCTTCGATTGAGCTTATGTCCAAGATGGCAAACTTTGGGGGAAGAATGCTTGGGCTCTAGGGATGGGAATGAAGCCAGCGCTGGGAAAGCCTGTGCACCAGACAGGGCTGTTCTGGCCACAGGGAATGCGGATGGCACACCTGAGTCTGAGCCTCCTTTCCGCGGGATTGGACTCCCGGACTGGGTCGGTCTCCCCACCCCCCGGACCGCCAGGGGGCGCTGCAGGCAGCTCCCCGGAAGCTGGCACCAGGCACTGCCGGACCGCGCCAGGCGCCCGACTCTTGCGTCTTCCGGAAGCGGAGCGCCGGACCCACAACGGCTGGGTGTGCAAAGCGGCGGTGGCGGGCGCGGCGGAAAGGAGGAGACCTGAAGGGGACCCGGGCCTGCCTCCCGCGCCGGGGTGGAGCACCATGGACGAAGCAGGCAGCTGTGCGAGCGGCGGAGGCTTCCGGCCGGGCGTGGACAGCCTGGACGAGCCCCCCAACAGCCGCATCTTTCTGGTGATCAGCAAGTACACTCCCGAGTCGGTGCTGAGGGAGCGCTTCTCGCCCTTCGGCGAGATCCAGGACATCTGGGTGGTGCGGGACAAGCACACCAAGGAGTCCAAGGGCATCGCCTTCGTCAAGTTTGCCCGCAGCTCGCAGGCCTGCAGGGCCATGGAGGAGATGCACGGCCAATGCCTCAGCCCCAATGACACCAAGCCCATCAAGGTGCAGGTGCCGGGGTTGGGGTACCCGCGGGAGTGGGAAGGGATGGGGCCTCCCTGCACCTGAAGCTGTGTCAGCGTGGGGTCAGGGTAGTACAGCACCTCTTTGGGGCGGACTGGGCAGCGCCTGGCATTCCGGGGGCGGGAGGATGGCGTTCGAGAAAGGGGTGCGGGGGTTTGGACGGTGCGGAAAGAACGTCCGCCCCGACTTCAGCTGCAGAGCTGACTGGGCCTCCCTCCACTCCGGCCGTCACCACTACGCAGCTCTGGACTCCACGGCCCACCTCTGAACCGCCTCTCTCATAACCCCGTGTACCATGTATAAAAACAGATTTTTTTTTTTTTTTTTTTTTGCTTTTCTTCAGGTTGGTACTGAGCTTAACAACTTGATAAAGGTGTATTAAACTGTGGCCTCTCTGGTGTTGGGCGTTTGCCCAGTACCAGACGAAAGTGTACATGTATATAATGTTTGAGTCAAGGTGACTAAAACTGCTGCTATTGTATATTTGTCACACCATTGTGATTTTTAACAATCCTCTTAACTAAGCCCTTTTTGTGAAAGTAGTAATGGCATACGTTTTGTTATTGCCACTTTTCTTTGAAAGCAACCAAAGTAAACTGCCTTAAGAAGAGCCAAATCATTGTGATGGTAGTGTAGTGGTATTGTTATTAAATGCTTCTTTGTATACTCTTGGTTCACCCTGGAGGTATTTATATTCTTTCCTCACTTGTGTAAAATTAAGATAACTGACATGTGGCAGGAAGGGTGATTTTGAGAGTTATTTGACTTCATCTATGCTTTTAGCACAGTGCTTGGCAAAAGGTAGGCCCTCAATATATCCTTATGGTCAGTAGTAGCCAAAATGTCATTCCTTACTGGCAGTGAACTCAGTTCAGGACCCAATCCTGAGGATCTATCTGACAGTTGCTTAAAGTGTACCCTCACCTGTCCTGTAGAAATAGTTGCTGTGTATGTAATTCTGTTGGAGACTTCCACAAAATTCTCTTTTCCCTCGACTTTTTTTCCCCCTTTTATTCCTCCCATTTACTACAGAAAACTGGTAAGAATATTATTAATACTGACATAAATGAAAGACTAAAAGATATTTCAGTCTCTGAGGTCTTCCCTATATCTCCATCCACAAAAGAGAAGGAGCATAGGAGTATACCAGCAATACAGTAGACCACCATAGACATTCCCTTTATTTCCACCTCCCCAACTCTCTGAAATGGAGCAGAACAGATCATCAGTAAAATGAATTGTAAGGCAACAGCATATGCTAGATCAGGGGTTGACAAACTTTTCTGTAGGAGGACAGATAGTAAATATTTTAGGTGTTGTGAGCCACATACAGTCTCTGTGACATGTTCGGTGTTTTTAACAGCCCTTTAAAAATGTAAAAACAATTTTTAGATCATGGGCTGTAGAAAAACAGGAAGCTGTGGTTTGCTGACTCCTGTCCTAGATTGGTAATTTGTATCTCCTTCTAATTAAATTAGCCCAGGGGTTTTTTTATACTTTTGAGTATAACCAGAGCTCTGTGGGCAACCCAAAAAGTGCCCCAAATCTCAAACCTATATAATCCCCTTTCCTTAATTAAATTCCTACAAGAGAAGTAAAAGTCCCATCACTGAAATGTACCCTCCCTTTTGGCCGCAGAGAAGCTACTCCCCAAAATAATTCAAGTTTAAGTTGTTTTCCACGTTTTGGTCCACTCAGTTTCAGCCAGAAGTTTGTTGCACTACAGGATCGAGCTAGACAGTCTAAGTTCATTCTTCAGCAGGTTCAGTTTGGTCTGTCTTTCACTGGAATGTAGTTTCTTTGTGTTTCTTTTTGTTTTCTCTGTATTTCCCGTTAAATTAATTCAGCTTCAACTTTTCTCATGTAGTTTGCTTTTGCAAAGTTCCAAAGGATCTATAAGACACATAAGAAAATTATAGCCCTGGGCCTGCAGCCAGGAAAGATTGGCTAAGTAAGAGTTATTCTGTGACCAACTACATTATCTGGAGGAAAGTGGTAAAGTTTTGGTTTTCAGCTTTGCAAGAATGCCTCTTATTTAGTCTGTAGTCTGAACATAAAGTCTTAGGAGAAATCTCCATTAGGTGGTTAATTATTATACATGTGTTCTGCTCAGACGCTGCCTGCCTTATTGGAAATTTGAAACACTCTAGACTTCTAAAATTTAGAAATTTGTGATCTGATGACACCTCCAGTCTCAAATCTTAACTTGAGTCTCTTTCTTTTCCCCCAGTATCTTCCCATATTCGTAAAGGTTTCCTATTTTATTTTTCTATTGATCATTCATTAGTGATACGTCCACTAGACTGACTTTCTAGTGGGTCGTTTCTGTATTGCTCAGTACTCTGTTACTAATACCTCATACACTGCTAGTGTAAGTTTATTGAAGTAACAGTAGACTCTAGGAATATGTCTCCAGCTGTATCTTGTCAACGAGGTCCTATACCTCTATGACAGCTGTTTTCTAAGCAAACATATGATCTTCTGTTTCATACTTTTGAAATCCCATGGCTTTATAAGTTCTCTGTCCTTTGGGTTGCTGCCTCCTACTCTGGAATTCCATAAGTTGAGGTTTTCTCATACTTGAATGGTATACAGCCCTCCCTTTAAAGTAGAAGAAAAAAGAAACCTTAAGGGCTTTGTGTGGTGATTTATATTAATTTTATTACGTCTTTAATTTATAAAAAAACAAAACTAGTCATTAAAATTCTTATCCTTATAGCTCTGTACAAATCCACAATCCTAATTAGAGATTTTAACATTCCTCTAGGATAATATAAAACCAAAACAGTTTTATAAAGTAATAAGTAACAACCTAGTATCATAATCCAAGTAATAAATCTAAGTAATCTAATGTCACAGATGATGTTTCAGTAAAACTAAATTGCTAATAGTAGAAAATGGAGCGTCAGGTAGTCCTGTGCATTTTCTTGCTCACATAAATAATTTGGATGGTCCCTAAGATGATCCAGAATATGGTTATGTTACCTTTTTTAAAGGTTAATATTAGAAGAAAACAATTAAAAATAATGACATTCTAGACTTAAACCCAGCTATAGCAATAATTACATTAAACATAAGTAGACTTAATGTGCCAATTAAAGGCAGAGATTATCAGGATTTATAAAAAAAGAAAGACCAAACTAAATACTATTTAAAAGAGACATAAAGATACAAAGTGGTTGAAAGTTAAAGGATAGAAAAAGCTTGTGTGAGGGGCGCCTGGGTGGCTCAGTCGTTAAGCGTCTGCCTTCGGCTCAGGTCATGATCCCCGCATCGGGCTCCTTGCTCCACGGGAGGCCTGCTTCTCCCTCTCCCTCTCCCACTGCCCCTGCTTGTGTTCCTGCTCTCATTATCTCTCTCTTTGTCAAATAAATAAGTAAAATATTTTAAAAAAAAAGCTTGTGTGATGTCATACAAAATGGTCTTCAACACAAAGAGTATTAACAGAGATAGGGCAATCTCATAGGAATAAGAATATCAGTCAAAAAGTACATAACAATCCCACATGTTTATGCAGCCAGTAATACAGCTTCAAAATACATGAAGCATTACTGATAGAACTAAAAGGAGAAAGATAAATTTGCAATCAGGTTTTTATACTCCTCTCTTAGTATCTGATAAAACAACTAGACAAAATCAGTAAAAATCTGTATTTAAATAATACTATCAATCGACTGTAATTGGCATTTATTAGACACTGTGTTCAGCAACTACAGAGTATACATTCTTTTTCAATGCACTGACTTCCTCTTGGCAGACAAAAGTGCAAAAATAAATGCAGACATTGGTATTATCTCATATAAAATGTCATTGCAGTAAAGATTGCTTTAAAAAAACTTTTGACAAAACGCTGTTACATTGTGTTTAACCTAACATGAATCTCACACTAATAATGAAGTAAGTATACTTAAGAAATAGGAAAGCAGTTAACTGATTTTTTTTATATTATTTTTTGGATTTTGTTTGTTTCTTAGGTTTTCATTGCTCAGTCCCGATCATCTGGAAGTCACCGCGATGTTGAAGATGAAGAACTTACGAGAATATTTGTTATGATACCAAAGTCCTACACAGAAGAAGATCTGCGGGAAAAATTTAAGGTACTTATGTTTTCTAATCAGCTAGCATCTGTGGTAACTTAAAATCCTAAATTGGTTGTATAGTTATTAAATCTTAAGTGTTGTTTGAGTTAGATGATTAGATTGGTGGTAGAGAATTAAGGAACTGTTTTTAAATCATCTATTTCCATCTAGTTTTAAAATATTAAACTTAGAATAAACTAACTTAAAAAAAAACATAAAAACTGGGAAATATTAATGATGGTATTTTCCCCCATAAAAGGAAAACACAGATTCAGGAAAATAAAGCATAAAGCCCGGAGTTTTAAATTAGGTTGCATACCTTGTAGGTGGTGGAACCTGCTCTTGGTCTTTACACCTTCCAAGTACCCTCTCACCACTCTGTTGCTCTCATATAGAGGGGAGTCAAGGAAGCCTGAGTGTGTCAACTGTATTATCTAGTATTGATTATAAGCTTGTGGCATGTAGATGTACTTATTCGCAGAAAGGCTCATCCTTTATAGAATTTTTGTCCTAAAATTAAGCCTTTGAAGGAGTTCTATTAAAAGGAAAAAAAAACTACAGCTCTGAACCATATAGCAAGATTATAGTCCATGAAATTTGAAGAGAATTTTAAATCTTTTTAGCCATTGATTTTTATATATGTGATATCACAAAAATTATTAAAAAGCAATTCTTAAATTGTTTTGAGTTGTAATTTTTTATCCTTTTTCTACTAAGTTTCCCAACATTATGAATCAGAATCAGGTGGGCAACAAGCAAGAAAGAAAAGAAACAAACAGTGAAAAGTAATTTTCAAACTTTCTCTGTCCTACCCCAAATAAGAGTTGAATAAAATATCTCAAAAATAACAACTACCAAAAATATATATTCCATACTTCTTCCAATAGTAAGAAAGAAGTTTTTGTCTTATATATTTATAAATTTTTATCTTTTTCTGAGTGAACAAATATGACATTTTTATCCAAATGTATAATAATTAAGTAGCTAAGTGGTTATGTGAGACTTTTATAAAATAAAAAATAAACACTAAGGGGACACCTGGGTGGCTCAGTTGGTTAAGCATCTGACTCTTGATTTTGGCTCAGGTCATGATCTCAGGGTCGTGAGGTGGAGCCCTGCATATGGCTCCACACTCAGCTCAGAGTCCGCTGGAGATTTTCTCTCTCCCTCTCTGCCCCTCCCCCTGCTCACACACACACACTGTCTCTCTCTAAATAATAAATAAATAAAATCTTTAAAAAAATAAATACTAAGAATTTATATCCCATATTTCTACCAACATTAAAAGTAAACTTTTACCCATATTTTTCACATAGAGAATTGACTTTCTGAGTACGTCAGTGTGTTTTAGTGATACACTTTGAGAGGCTCCTCTTCAAAAGAATACATAATCAGTTATGTCCTGTTAGAAGGCAGACAGCTGTAGCTAGTGTTTAGTGTGTCCCAGACCCTTTAGGTCTATTAGTTCATTTAACTCTTAAAATAACCCTTTGAAGTAGGTACAACTTTTAGCCCCATTTAACAGGTAAAGAGATAGGCACAGAGAAGATAACTAAACTACTCAGTTCATAAGGGACTGAACTAAGATTTGAATATGGAAGGTTCAATTCCAGCTTGTAATCACCACTGAGCAAGACTTTGGAGCTTTCCAAACCATGTACACATTCTTACTCGCCCTCCATGACATGGGCAAATTATTTGATTTCTCAAAGACCCAGTTTCCTTGTCTGTGAAATAATATAATATATATAGATATACAAATTATAATATATTGTGTATATATACATATACATACATATATACATACACACATACGTATTATACATATATCCTTAAAGGACTTTTGTAGCAGTAAGATAATATATGTAAAGCAAATGCTCAGAAGATGAAAATGAAAATCATCATTATTTTGGTTATGTTATTATTTGCCTGTATCGTTAGTATGGTTTTTTTTCTAGTGCCTCATTAGTTTGTGACATTTGGATTCTGTTATTAAAAATGGCTGTAAATTCTAATTCTCATTTCTAGTTTTGCCAATAAGGGACACAAATAAACTTTAAGTTCTGAAATAATCTGTTCAGTTATTGATTTTGACTCCTCTAAGATCATTTCTTTTAACTCTCATAGGTGTATGGAGATATCGAGTATTGCAGCATTATTAAGAATAAAGTAACTGGAGAAAGTAAAGGTTTGGGTTATGTTCGATACTTAAAACCATCACAAGCTGCCCAAGCAATAGAAAACTGTGATCGAAGTAAGGATATGTTCATTTAACATACTAAAGACTTCTTAAAAACTTTTAATTATTCTAAATAACTGAATTTAACACTTGGTTTTGCTAATAACCATACCTGCTAATTTAATCCTAGCAATGGGAGTTTAAATATATGTATATACCTAAGATGAAAATTATTTGGGGGCTGTGATTAAGTTTTCATTGAGGCACTGTCCTGAAGAGAAATATGAGCAATTGCATTAATTTAATAAGTGAAAATGTGTTGCCACATTTTGGTTATTATTTCTATAGTAATTTAAAATTTTTAAGTATTAAAAAATTGACTTACCCTTTCAGGCTTTTTTAAAGAATATTTTTTCTTTATATTAAAAAAAAGAACTCCAGTTTTCTGTTATATTTGTTCATATTTAACCTAAACCTTAAATAGAATTAAGTATATACTAATAAACATAAAGGTTAAGGTTGAGACTTAGTGTAATATTTGCCACATAGGTAACTAAATATATATTGGGTTAATTGTGAGCTAGAGTGATATTAATTGGATCTTTTGCTATTGCTGGTATATATATAATGAAGAATAAGAATTTTAAAGAAGCCAAGGAAAATATCCTTTGTTGTCATACTCCTGGTTATATTGACCTTGAGAAATGAGGAATAATTAAATTAGTAGGTTTTAGGATATTATAAAGATCTATATGTACTGGAAAGAATTATTGCTAATCAGTAGAATTCTTTTTTTTTATTTTATTTTATTATGTTATGTTAGTCACCATACAATACATCATTAGTTTTTGATGTAGTGATCCACGATTCACTGTTTTCGTATAACACCCAGTGCTCCATGCAGAACGTGCCCTCCTTAAATGACCCTAAGATACATACCAAAATTTCCTCTCAGATCCTTCTAAATTTCTCAGTCAACCAGCATTAATTGAGTACCTATGGTATACTCAGCAATATGTTAAGTAAAAAGATACAAAGGGAATAAATATATAGCTTTTAAGGAATTTAATTATATTGGGTAGCCAAGATCTAATAGACAAAAAATAGTTAAAGAATAATAGAAGAGGGACGCCTGGGTGGCTCAGTCGTTAGGCGGCTGCCTTCAGCTCAGGTCATGATCCCAGGGTCCTGGGATCGAGCCCCGCATCGGGCTCCCTGCTCCACGGGAAGCCTGCTTCTCCCTCTCTCACTCCCCCTGCTTCTGTTCCCTATCTCGCTGTGTCTGTCTCTGTCAAATATATAAATAAAATCTTTAAAAAAAAAAAAAAGAATAAAAGAATTTTTAAAAGGCTCTTTGAAAGCAGGGAGTATGTTTTATTTGTCTGTTTCTGTCATTCCTAGTACCTAGTACAGTTAGTTAGGCCCTCTATAAAGATTTATTGAGATCTCTATCAAAGATACTGCCATTTTTAATAGACTCAATAAAAATTTGCCAAATGAGAAAATGTTAGAAAATGTGTGGTATGGTCCAACAGTGGTGAGAAACAAGTGCACTGTGAGCATGAGAACACCTCTAGAGGTTGGATTGACATCTGGTATAGAGTAGGCAGGACAGAGGGTGAGAGCAGTTTTAGCAAAGGCACAGAGCTAGGAGTAAACATGTCTTTGCTTAATACTGTGAAAGGAACAGTCTGAAGAAAGCGTAATAATCCTGTTGAGAAATTAGGAGACAAAGTTAACTAGATACATTGGCACCATATATGGGAGGTTATAAACAGTTCAACCTCAGTTAGGATTCCCTTGTAGATTGTTTTAAAAGGAGAAAAATAACTATTAGGACAGTTGATCTAACCACAGTTTCAAGGATGGATTTCCAGAGAAAGAATTCGAAGTGACTGGTTTTATCCTTTTACGAGCCACTGCATAGTATGTTGTAAGCTATGAACCTTCTCCTTTGAAATATGCCCATATGCACATACACATAAGCATTTTGTTTAAAGTTTCAGAGAGTTCATGGAACCTTCCCACTTTTTGAAGCTCATCTTTGAGCCCCTACTTAAAACCTTTGATCCAGAGGCAAAGAGACCACTTAAAGAGTTGTAATTAATTGAAGGGAATCTGACTTAGAAACAAAGGCAAAGAAATTGGAGTAAAAGATAACATCTTGTAAGTGTATTTCAAAGGAAGAGTCTTGCTAACAGGTTGAATGTAAAGAGCCCTATAGGATTTTGATGCTGAACCAGGGAGAACGAGCCATGATATTTTTTGTAATAGCGGGGAGACTGGAAAGGATAAGATAGAATTGCTGATCTTTCATGTCTACATTGACCCATAACTTGAGATTCTTGCGCTTTTTATTTATTCTTTGCCATCTTCCAAAAAGCCAAGAAGTAGGTCTGGTGCAGATGGCCCTTGTATAGATTTTGTTTTATACAATTACAGTTAAAAGCTAAGTCAAGCATAGCAATAAAGTATATTTGCAGGTGTGTTAAATTTGCTATGAAGTTTGAAAGTCATAGATTCTCTTTTTCAGGTTTTAGGGCAATCTTGGCTGAACCTAAAAATAAAGCATCTGAATCCTCGGAACAAGACTATTATAGTAACATGAGGCAGGAGACATTGGGACATGAACCTAGAGTTAATATGTTTCCATTTGGTGAGTAAGCTATCCTTTATTTTAATAGTATAAGTAGTATATACAATTGGATTTGGATTTCATAAAATATTCTTTAGTCTGTAAATCTTACTTAGTGAATAAAAGTTAATATGGGGTTTTTTGAGAAGTTTGTCATGACTTCTCATGGTCTTAATATTTAACACTTGCGTAACTAGTATCTAACACTATGTGTAACAGAAAACTGTAATTGGAAATTATTATATAAATTTATTTATATTATATTTTATGTATAACAAATATAGTTATATGTTTATATTATATATAATTATATATTTCTATGTGTAACAGGAAAAAATAATAATTCCAATTATAGTTTTCTATGGTTAGTTATGTATTATCTAAATACTAAACTGCATCACTGCCACTTTTTTTGAGTGAGCTTCTGCTTCTGTATAGGACCAAAAAGTATGAGATACCTATCCTGATCCTCCCTCAGTGTGAGTCCTAAGATTTATCCCTAAGGTATTGCTGCTTTAAAATTAGGGCTAGAGAAAGGAGAGGAATGACGAAAGTAGAAGTTAGCCAAAGGGAGAAATGAGTGATGGAAGTAAGTCCTATAAAGGTTATTTGGCATAAACTTTCTTTTAGGTGAAACTCGTACCATATTTTGCAGTTTTGCATACTAAACATATTCCTCTGAAGTTAGACTACACATTTCTGCTTATATTTCTGTGTCAAAGGCAGGGGAGTGGGAAGAGTTGTCTGTTTTTTCACCATTGGTCCCTCTGATAGTGCTAATGCCCAAGAACATACTACAAAATACAGTGCCTTGGTCCAATGCAATGGACTGAATGACAGCTCATCTTACTTGTACCTAAAATGTTGAATGTATAGAAATTAAAAGATATACTTTTTTTATATTGTTGGAGAACAACAATCTGAGTATTCAAGTTTTGACAAGAATGACAACAGAGGCCAAGAAGCTATCTCCAAACGCCTGTCAGTTGTATCAAGAGTTCCTTTCACTGAAGAGCAGCTTTTCAGTATTTTTGATATAGTACCAGGATTGGAATACTGCGAGGTTCAACGAGATCCTTATTCTAATTATGGTAAAATAATGTCTATTATTTTTTAATATACTGTGTTTTGTTAAAATGTCTTTTCTCCAGTGCACTTCTTATGTCAGATACTCTTTCTGTGACAACTTTATGTTTTCTTTTTCTCCGCTTTAAACTTTCAAATACAATGATACCTTAGTAAATAAACCCCTGAGAATATATGTCCCTTATACAAGTCATTTATTTTTATTTATTTATTTTTTTAAAGAATTTATTTATTTATTTGATAGAGAGAGACACAGTGAGAGAGGGAACACAAGCAGAGGGAGTGGGAGAGGGAGAAGCAGGCTTCCCACCGAGCGGGAACCCGATGCGGGGCTTGATCCCAGGACCCTGGGACCATGACCTGAGCCGAAGGCAGACGCTTAACGACTGAGCTACCCAGGCACCCCAAGTCATTTATTTTTAAAGAATATTTTAACTCCCACAATATAGAGTGTTCTCTCTTTCCAGTTGTACAACCAAAATACCTCAGGATGGGGTCCCTGTACTCCTGATTAATTCTAGGCGAAGTTCTTTTTTTTTTTTTTTTAAAGATTTTTATTTATTTGACAGAGAGAGACACAGCGAGAGAGGGAACACAAGCAGGGGGAGTGGGAGAGGGAGAAGCAGGCTTCCCGCCGAGCAGGGAGCCCGATGCGGGGCTTGATCCCAGGACCCTGGGATCATGACCTGAGCCGAAGGCAGATGCTTAACGACTGAGCCACCCAGGCACCCCTAGGCGAAGTTCTAAAACCCTTAAAGCTTCCTCCTCGTCCCTAAGTGTCTCTCTTTTTTGTTTGTTTGTTTGTTTGTTTTTTTAAAGATTTTATTTATTTGACAGAGAGAGAATGAGAGAGAGAGAGCACATGAGAGGGGGGAGGGTCAGAGGGAGAAGCAGACTCCCTGCCAAGCAGGGAGCCCGATGTGGGGACTCGATCCAGGGACTCCAGGATCATGACCTGAGCCGAGGGCAGTCACTTAACCAACTGAGCCACCCAGGCGCCCTGTTTTATGCCTCAAAATGAAACTCCTTCCCTTCATTTCAAGCATCTAATTGCTCTACTTCTCTCTCTACTTCTTCCCAGTCTTAATTATAGCAAGGCTCTGAGGCACCTGGGTGGTTCAGTCAGTTGAGCGTCTGCCTTTGGTTCAGGTCTTGATCTCACGGTCCTGGGATCAAGCCCCATGTCGGGCTCCCTGTTAAGTGGGGAGTCTGCTTCTCCCTCTCCCTCTCCCCGCCCACTTGTGTTCTCTCTCTCAAATAAATAAATAAGATCTTTTTTAAAAATCTGAAGCAAGGCTCTAATAGCCATTTGAACTTATTAACTAGTTAATTGGTTAAACCTAATATCTAGTGTTGGCTTAACCATCTTCATAATTTTTTAAGGCTTTTTGAAAATGGAGTTATTGTGGCATAATGGAAAATGGTTGGCATTCCATTTCACATTAGACTCAAAATGCAAATCCCAGCACTGGCATGTAGCTCTGAGACCTTGGCAGTTTGCTTATCCTTTCTGAATCTCTCTTTCTTCATCTGTAAAAGAGGATTATTAATACCTTCTATGCCAAGGTTAGATAAGAATTAGAAATGCTGTATGTAAAATACCTATTGCAAGTCCTGGCACATAGTAGGCACTCAGGAAATCTCAAGAGCTTATTGGTTTGTTTAGAGAATTGGAGAGGTGGTATAGAGAAGTCATACTTGGCATCTCTTCTAGTACTATAGATACACTCGATTTAGTCCTTTCAGGGTGTTATGGATGTAAGGGGAAGTAGGAAAGTGAGTCAGGTCATCGGGCTGGCAGGCCTGGAGTGGTGCCACTTTTCACACAGACACTTGCACTTACTATTACTCTACCCAGCGCTGGTCTCTTAGCACGACTACCCATCTGAGCCTACTTTAGACCATCTCCAACCCTAACCCAACCTTAGACTATCATTCTTTATTCTGACTCTAAGGCACACACTTTGTGTTTTTTGGCACATTCGTTATTATGTATAATTCTATTTATTTTGTATTTCTTTCCCTTTTATCTGGTATGTTGAAATGTATTTGTTCCTTTACCTTCTTTATCATTTCTCTGGTTGAATGTGTCTGATAAATAAATATATGTGTTTTGGGGCACCTTTTTATTAATAGAGGTATCATCATAGAGTTCTATGAGTTTTATATGTTCATTTGCTATCTGAATTTTATTTTCATTAAAATGTTGGGGTGCTTGGGTTTAGAAAGGAACATGAAATTATAGCAGTGTTTTCCCTCAAGTGGGTTATACTGTATATATCGGTTATATATCTATATTATATTATATTATATTATATTATATTATACATATGGGTTATATATCATGAAAACTTTTTGGTTGTGTTACAAGGCTGTCCACATATGGACACCAGTATAAAATTATCCCCCCACTACAGCATCACCCTCCTGAATTGAAATCTATTTCCTTAGCTGAAAGCTCGCCAAAGAAATGTGAAATATGTGACTTCTAATCTGAGAGCCTCTGTTCCCTACGTTTTCTTTTTCATAAATAACACTTTTCCTTTCTCTAGCACTGCAGCAAGCCTGATGACTGTATGCTTTTATCAGGCTATATATTCTCATTTCATTTCCGACTCAGTATGATAGGGAAAATTTTAAAATTTCAAAGCAGATTTCAAAAGAAAAACTGTTTGGCTTTAGGTATATCTATCATATAAGAAACACCAATATCCTAAAATTAAATTCATTGGACAGAACTTACTCTAATAATTACACATTTTCCTTAAAATATCATGTTTATATTTTTGCCAAAATCTGGTTTAGACTTTGTAGGAACACAGCTCTTGCACATATGTATAAGAAAACTTTGTTTTCTGACCCATTTGACTCTCTGTTAACTAGTTATGTGATTACAGGCTATTTCTATATTGTTTGATTTTGTGGCAAGACAGGCTTTGGGTACCCTGTGTTCTTTTTAACTCCTGATGTTCTCTACTTTTGTTTTAGGTCATGGAGTGGTTCAGTATTTCAACGTAGCATCAGCTATTTATGCAAAATACAAGTTACATGGGTTTCAGTACCCTCCTGGGAATCGGATAGGTGTTTCCTTCATTGATGATGGGAGTAACGCAACAGAGTAAGTACTATCTCAGGAGGGTTTACAGCAGGGCTTTGGGTATACATGGTATGACTTGAAGAATAAGAATAGGAAGCAGTTGACCTCTTGGGTGAGGAAGTCACACAAAATAAGTTACAGGTCAGAGATTGAGTATTTCTAGTTTTCTGTAAATTATCAGTTCTTATCTTTAGTCTTCTCAGAAAAATGGCAACGCAGATGGTAGCAGCACAGCTTGCATCAATGGTGTGGAATAACCCAAGTCAGCAGCAATTTCTGGTAAGTAGGTAAGAATTTAACCTCTATCATACATCAGTAGGCTATAAAATAAATGCGGCTTTTGTTTATTGCCTATGTAAGAAAATTTTCAGAGCTACAGTACAAGATCACATAGAAGTCATGATATAGATCTCTTTAGCTCTTGGCTTAAAATCCTTAAAGTGCAGTTTTTCTTTTTCTTATTTTGTACCTAACTCTTCAACAGCAATTTGGAGGAAATTCTGGATCACAGTTGCCTCAAATCCAGACAGATGTTGTACTTCCATCGTGCAAAAAAAAAGCCCCTCCTGAAACTCCTGTGAAAGAAAGACTTTTTATCGTGTTTAATCCTCATCCTTTACCTTTAGATGTATTAGAGGATATATTCTGGTAAGATTTCAATTCCATTAGGTTTTGTTTATAATATAATTTATTTAAATCAGTCATTTAAGCCCTCTCACAAACTTTAAACTTCCTATATCCATTACTTATCAGATAGAAATGATTTGTTCTGTAGTTTAAAAAATTCCTTATTTATATCACCTTTTAAAATATATGATTTCTTTCTCTTCTTTATTATTTATACATCTTAAGTCTCCACACAGAATTTCCTGTTACTTTGTTTTGAAGACATAAAACAGTATTGTTTTGGGGCGCCTGTGTGGCTCAGTCGTTAAGTGTCTGCCTTCAGCTCAGGTCATGGTCCCAGGGTTCTGGGATTGAGCCCTGCATCGGGCTCCCTGCTCTGCGGGAAGCCTGCTTGTCCCTCTCCCACTCACCCTGCTTGTGTTCCCTCTCTCGCTGTGTCTCTCTCTCTGTCAAATAAATAAATAAAATATTTTAAAAAAAAAAACAGTATTGTTTTGAAAAATTGCATGCATAAAATGGACAAATCATTTGTTTCTTGATAGAAAATACATCTGTGTCAACCTTTCCTCTAGAATTCTTTTTACATAACTTTTCCTTAGTGATTGTAATACAACTGAACAGAGTAGCATTTTCTATTTTGTCAGCACTCTGTTGGATCCTTAAGGATTATTTTGAGTAAACAATTACTTGATTGTAAGGAAGAGTACATAATAAGTGTAGAAAAAGGAAGGCTCTTGTTTATTTTTGTGTTTTTAATAGAACTTTAATCTTAACTTTTTTCTTTTTGGTCTTGTTCCTATTTGCCTTATAACAGTGTTAGCAAAGTAAAAAAAAAAAAAAATAGAAAGCTCATTGAAGAGCTGCACAAAACATTAGTAGTTCAAATATTTTGACTTATTTAACTGATTCATGTGGTTTATTTCTTGAACATTTCCTTTGCACCAGGCAGTCATCATGCTAAGTGCAAGAGACATTGTGTAAACAAAAGATATGATGTAAATAAGACATAATAGTTCTTGTCCTCTGAGAGCTAATCTCATGTAGGAGACAAACAAGTGAATAGGATACTACAACCTCCTGAGGTTGGTGTTGTGAAAAGCAATGTCCAGGCTATGAAATACATTAAGGGGAGCATCTACTTCTGAAGCTCTAAGAAGCAATGTATAATGGAGACCTGACAGATAAAAATAACTTAGCTAGAGAAGCAGGGATTTGGGGGGTAGGGGGGTTATTTCTGCAAGAGAGAATGTGAAAGGAGATGGTTAGAGTATGAAATTTGAGAGACTGGGAGGGAGGGTGAAGTGGGAGAAGACAAGGCCCATGTCAAGAAAGGCCCACAAGCTATGTTAGGGAGTTGGTCTTCACCCTGGATGGGATTTTTAGGGAGGAAATGATCAAATCTCTGTTTTAGAAAGGTCACTAGAAAGACAGGGTAGAAAATAGATTAGGGAGGGACAAGCCCAAAGGGCAGGGGAACAAGTGCGGAAGGTCTTAGAGCATTCCAAGGAAAAGATAATGACCAGCTGAATGAGGAAAGAGACCCGAGTGAGAATGAAGAGAACTTGACTAATAGAGCACGTGTTTGAAAAGGAAGATTGACTTGAAGATTGGGTGTGGGGAGAGGAATGGAGGAGGAGTCCAGAATGGACCCCAATTTTTGGACCTAAACAGTTGTATTTTTATCAATTTCATTGGATTTTTTTTTTAACTTTGTTTCAGTCGTTTTGGTAACCTGATCGAAGTTTACCTTGTGTCAGGAAAAAACGTGGGGTATGCCAAATATGCAGATAGAATAAGCGCAAATGATGCCATTACTACTTTACATGGGAAGATCCTAAATGGAGTCAGACTTAAAGTTATGCTGGCGGATTCCCCAAGAGAAGAATCTAACAAACGACAAAGAACTTACTGATTCTTGAGGTAAGCCCTTTTTAGTCTGAGTTTTAAAAACACGTTGGCTAAATATTATAGCAAGAGGAATATGTATAGAGTTTCTTTTTAGGGATTTGGAAGTTGTCAGTTAAAAGCATTGTGACTTAGTGCTTGGCTAATAAAACCACAGGTTGGGTTAATTTCACAATATTTTTTTTTAAACTTGAACTTTTTAAACTTAAATGTTTTCAGTGTTTACTGGGAGAATGCTTTTGCTCTTCTACAAAATAAAACCAGATTTCAATGTAGAAAGTTAAACAGTGGGTTTTTTTGTTTGTGAATGTTTTAATATTAAGAATTTGACTTTTTACCGTATGTTTATATAACTTTAAAATTGAAATAGTACTAAAGATTTTTAACTTAGAGGATTAATGTCAATATCTTGAGTTATAACTTAAGGTAATTTGTAATAACCTTTATAAAGAGTGTTTTGACGTCTCACTAGTGAAATGTCTAAAAAGTAGTATCAGATAATACGTCTTTTTGGACCTTTTGAACCTAGATGTTTTTCTCTGGACTTGTATTTGTGAGTTTGTGCATTAAAACCACACATTCAAAAAGTATTCTCACATGTGTATATATGTACTGAAAAAGGAACCCTGCCAATTTACCAAAAACTCTTGTCTATTATAATGATACATACAGCCATATGAATTTCTTTTTCTTTTAGTTTTCAGAGATCAAACTTAACTTTTCTTTTACTGTGATAGTCAACATATATCTCCATGGCTTAGGGAAACATTCTTTAAAGTAGAAATGTTCAACTCTTTCAGTTTTTTTATTCTGGAAATGAATTGTGAGCTTCAGGGGTAGCTGAGAGTTTCCCTGTTCCCACACACACCAGCTTCCCAAGTCCACTGCTGGTCAAATGGTAGCGGTTGGCAAGCACTTTAGATTGACTTGGAAGTTACTGACTTGAAAGCAAATTTCTTTTACCTCCGTTTTCTTTCTGACCAATTATGGCAACTAGCAAGTATCAGAGTGCATTGTCTCAATCCTTACTGCTGATGACCCTTTTTCTAATAGAACAAGTCAGGTGATTAGTTCCTCCTTCCTAGAAGGCAGTTGGCAATAGGAAATGCCTGTTGGGCCCATTATGAATAATCCTAATTTAGAAATGTCTTGAAATGTTTTATTTAATTACAAAATTCATTCCCATTACCCAATATGATGTAAAAATATTAAAATGCCAGTGAAAAAGAATTAACAAGTCCTTCTTAAAACAAAACTGTCTTTTTACATTTACAAATAAAATGATAAGACCTGAATTCTGGTTAGACAAGCTATCTTCTAAAATAGCATACAAAAATGTGTTGTTTGTGTCTGTGAATATTTTAATGTATAGCTAACAATTCTTCTATTCAAAGAATCTTTGTCCTTAAAAAAGGATAGTAATACTAAGTTCTTAATATGGGGAAAATACATGAATTACTCTTGTGGTTGAGCCTTTCCTAGTGATTATTTGTATAGTATAAAAATATTAAACTTAAAAATCAGAAGATCTGGCTTGGAATTCTAATTCCAACGTTAAACTGACTATGAATGGGCAGATCTCTTCACCTTTCTGAGGCTGATTTTTTTAATAGGGTTATTGAGAGAAAATAAATCAGCAGAATTCCTTATAAAATATAATAATGTTTTGCACGTGTGAGCTAAAACTCTTGCCTTGGTGATTTCAGTGAATCTTTGGCACGTCATCTTACCAGGATGGTCAGAAACTAAAAGTTTAATGATACAAAATGTGGCCAGCTGGTGCTTCGCGAATGAAGCATTATAATACCACATTTTCCCTGTAAAATTGCTGTACATTTATCCCGTTCCCTACATCAGAGGAATTATATATTCTTCAGCATGACTATTCATAAAATATAAATCTATCCTTTTTCCCTTAATTGAACCATTGTACCTATTCAGAGCAAAGATAAAGTAGGTTCAGGTTAGCTAAAAATGGTAGGACATAACCAGCTGTATTGGTTTTGAATGTCTTACAAGTTGCAGCACGTTTTTTAAATTTATTTTTGCTGTAGATTTTCTATTTACTGTGGACTCCATGAGATTCTCCTCCTTTGTTGGTATATTAAATAAATGTATTATTTTGAGGTTCAATAAAATAATATGAGTTTCCCAAATTTTACAGATTATAGCACTTGAAGTTCTTTGGAAGGGACAGCATTTTTTTATTTGTTCCCTTGATTTCAAGGGACAAGCACCACTCATAAAGGCTGGTTCCTTTTGTCTCTGAGAAATAGGCCTAGGATTAAGTGAGCTACACCTATGAAATAGGAAAAGAAACTGGTCTAAGAATATAACTTTGAAAGTAATTGACTTCTATTTTGAAGTGGGTTTAATGTACAAAATGTTTCTCTTTCTATTTGAGGAAAATAAAAATTTTAGTATTTCAGAGCATCCTGATTTTGTATTAATTCACAGCATTTTCCCTTCAGAAATTCAGTACCTGCTTGCATCATCCTTCTGAGTAAGTTTGGTTTTGCTTATTTGGGGACATCTATGATTAAGTAAGCAGATAAATTGGTTATTTTGAAATAAAGGAAATTCCTAATGTTTTAGGAATACTAAATACAATAGCTATTTCCTTTCAGGTGATGATTTTCATACTTCTGTTGTGTTCTTTCTACAGAACAAAGACTAAATAATGACATAATCCTCAGCTGACTGACTGAAAATGTGACTGGACGCACTCCCTGTGGACAGTTGACCGCTTTTTTTTCATATACCTGATAGTCTGTGCACAACATTGTTTTGTCTGGGGAGCACGGATTGTTGACATGTATTTTTGAATTCACACATCAGTGCTAAAACTAATATAATAGTTGTTTCTTAGAGCAATATGTTGTTATATGTAGCAGAAATAAAGTTTTCTTTGCTTGACTAAATCATGCCTTATTTATGTGAAAGAAGAGAATAAAACATATAACAGTGTTTAGAATTTGACAAAATGACATATTTCATTGATTTTGAGATGCACATTTTTTCACATTTTTGTATTTCTGAAATTGGACACATCGTGATACCAACTGTGTGCCATACTGTAATTGACAACCTGTTTTTATTTCTTAATAGAACATGAAACAAAGGTGCTTCCTTCAGTCACTTGCATCTGAGATTCAATAAAATATGGTAATTGCTGCTCAGCCTACACATGCAGATTGGCTACATACTTAAACTTAATCTGAGGCAAGAGCCAAAAGACATATCAGAAATATTGGGTGCCTGGGTGGCTCAGTTGGTTAAGCGACTGCCTTCGGCTCAGGTCATGATCCCGGAGTCCTGGGATCGAGTCCCACATCAGGCTACCGGCTCAGCGGGGAGCCTGCTTCTCCCTCTGACCTTCTCCCCTCTCATGCTGTTTCTCTCTCTCTCTCTCTCTCTCTTTCAAATAAATAAATAAAATCTTTAAAAAAACATCAGAAATATTTTATACTGTATTTTTATAGTTATGCCAAAATTTGTTGGTAATTTTGTAAAGATCTTTGAAGATTATAGAGCAATGATAATAAAAAAAGTTTTAGGTTATTATTGATAATAAGTTTAAATAGATGTTAGTGGCTTTGCGGGAGGGTGGACATTTTCCTTTATAAACACAAGCTATAATGGTCACTGTAAAAACGTGACATGTAAGTAACTTCAGAACAGACTATGATAGAATAGTCATTCCAAAAAAGGATTAAAAATTAGGACCCTACTCTGCTTGTATTTTGAAAATCCAAGAAAAATTTTTAGCTGCTCTTAAGGTGAATAATATGTATCAAAAAAGGTATATCTAAGTCAGAAAGTCAGCATCTTAAAGAAAGATACTATAAATGGTATGCAGTTATTAAGACCACTGAATTACCTCCTCATTATGCTTCTCACATTCTGAGTTAAACTAAAAATAATGAAAGATTAAATTCACTGAGCATAATAAAAGTATTTCAGTTTGACATCTCTCCATTGAAAAATTGAAATCCTTTTTTTGAATCAGTAATTTTAATAAATTTAGATGAGAAAATTTCCAATCTCATCTTCCCAGGCAGGACTTAATGAGAATGGAATCTTTGTGAACCAAAGGGCATATTTTGAAAAGAAAGTAAATGCTCTCATTCGAAATGGAAAAAAAAAAAAACAAAACACCTAAGTGAGGAGATGAGGATTAATTACCAACAGGTAGACTTATTCATCATGAACTCATTTACTGTGCACATAGTTCCATTTTCACGGATTGAAACCAAATTGTGCCCTACAGGTTATCAGACTCTACCACTCAGGTAATACTTGAATTCCCCCAGAAATATATCTGGCAGCTGGTTAATCTAAACAGTATAAAAGTAGGGAAGACGTTCTCTTAACTGATACCTGAGTCCATTGCATCTTCGATTAATCCTCATAATTAACAAAAGTTGATTCCCCACAATTTTCACCTTATTAGTCTTTAAGTTTTTCACTGGGCCATCTAGAAGTTGGCTCTTCCAGGTGATAGCTTGCTTTTTTTTATTTTATTTTATTTATTTATTTGACAGAGAGGGAGAGACAATGAGAGAGGGAACACAAGCAGGGGGAATGTGAGAGGGAGAAGCAGGCTTCCCAAAGAGCAGGGAGCCTGATGCAATGCGGGGCTCAATCCCAGGACACTGGGATCATGACCTGAGCCGAAGGCAGACGCTTAACGACTGAGCCACCCAGACGCCCCGATAGCTTTCATATACCCTCCTGACCTCCAGATTTTCTATTTGGATGAAATAATCCCAATTTCTCCATTCTGCATTTAATGTCAGGGAGCCAGTTTCAGCAACCAGTTGTGTTTTTGGTAAGGTGTCTTCTGTAGATTTAGTTCCTTGATTCCTTCATATAAATTCTAAAGAGATTTGTAGCATTGTTCTCTGCCTGCGAAACACTGCTTTTACACTGCAACCTTCTGCTGCATTTTCCAGCTGCATGTCTCAGTTGTCCCTTGTAGTTGAGCCCTAAAAGTTTATTTTTTAAAAGCCAGAATGTCACATTTTTCTTAAAACGAGGAGGTTCTAAAACCTCAGAAATAGCATTTAATAATCTAGTGCTCATGTCGTCACTTAGATGTTTACTCTTCAAATGCACTTTGGGTATAAGAACATGATATATAGATACTTAGATGCTCTGCATATGTCAGTTACTAAAATTGCCAACATAAAGGGGTTTTTATTAGGTGTGTACTTCATTAACCTAAAAAAATATTAAGCAATTCAGATCAATAAACTTCTCTTTCAAATATGTGGTTCAAATATAAATAGCATCTAAAATAAAGCCTGATCAAAACTTTCTTGTAAATTCATTGTCAGGTCTTTTATGGTAGATTATAGATGCTGAAAGCAGGTATCAGATTTGCTGTTTCTAGAGCATCATGTCCTAAGCTATGTTCCTTGAAATACTAGTGTCTTGAGAGAATTCATTAAGTTTCTTTAGAGAAGAAGTTTTCATGGTCAAAGATACTTGGAAAATGGTTATTATTGCACAGATTATTTTGACCATGAAACTTCTCAGAGCCTTTAATATGCTAATATGTATCATCCCTGTATCTCCAAAAGAAGACCATGGTTTGCACTGGGCAATGTATTTTTAGAGGCACACTACTAACAGGGCACTGATACAACAACGAATGTATTTTAGGAAAGATTCTTCTACAGTATATACTGTTTTTATTCAATGGTAGTGGTGTGGTTTTATTTATAAGTTTATTTTTTATGCTTTTTAATCTCACCGTAGATAAAAAGTTAATGCAAAATACTAAGGAAATTATTACTCTAAAATTTTCATAGTCTCTGAATGTTATTCTCTTTTAATTGGGACCTACGTGGTATCAATGAAGAGAAAGAAAATAGAAATAAGAGATTTTACCACTAGGTGGTGATAAACATTGCCACTTAGAAACAGTGAAGTGCAGCATTCCAGTGTTATTTAAGGCATTGAGCATGAAATGACAGGATTTTAGTTGTCTAAAGCAGTGGTTTTAAACTTTAGTGTCCACAAGAATCACCTCAGGTATTTGTTTAAAATACAGGTACACTGAATCTGCAAATTTGGGGCTGAGTTTCTCAATAAGCTCCCTAAGTGATTTGTTAGGGTAGTCAATGGCATTGACTTCATAGTATACTGGCCTTAAGAGATTCTATATGTTGGACCTTAAATTGGACTATTGTAAAAATAAGACATTGAGAAGTTCCTGAGTCTTTTTACCTTAAGCATTTTTTAGAGTTTAGCATCTGCTTCAATTTAATATCAGTAAATATGAATTACAGTAAGAAATTGAAAAACACAAGCAGTCTTAGAGATATAGCAAGATGTCAGGCCAGCTTTTTTGTTAGCAAATATTTTTTGATGTTTGTATAGGATGGTAATTATTTGCTTTTGCCATTCAAAGCTTCTGTCTTATTTCATTTTTTATTTACATTTATTTTGAAGTAAATTATTTTAATGAATTATCATCAAAGATTTTGTCTCTAAAGAAGTATATAGATATGTATCATTCTTTTTAAATGGACAAAGGAGCATGAAGGTGATGTAATTATCATCAGTGTTTAAAAACTGAAATAGAATAATCACAGGAGAACAGAAATACACATGTATGTATCTGAGTATTTTTACAATCCTAAAGGGAATCTTCTTACAAAGTGAATGCTTTTTTTGATGTACTCACAAATCTGTTCACTTATAGGTACAGTTTAATTTTCAGTAACTTATTAATTATTTGCCTAAAACTCAGTGAGGTCAAGAACAAATGAAATATATATATATATATGGCCTTTTCATCCAGGGGTATAGCCATATGCAAATTTTATTCCATATGTGGATAGTAAGCTCTATTAAAATCATAGCAACTATTTTTACATATGACTTCAGTAAAGAGAGAAAACATAAAGGTCATCCTTATTAGATAAGAAGTTTCATTTTAACATCTGAATTCTAATAAATGGATTGCATTATTTCCTTTTCTAGAAACAGTAACTCAAGGACACATGGATCCTGGGAACTGAAGGTATGGTATTACTAGGGGATCAGCTAGAAATATTTAGTTAACATATGAAGTCGCAGTTCGTTCATTATCATGACCATGTTTTGACTATATTTAAGGTAGAAAAGACTTGTCCTCAGTAGAATATGGAGATCCCTAATATTATACTTTGAGAAAGTTACCAGGCCCTATGAAAATCCATTTGAGTGGTTATCTGTCACAGGAAAGAGAGTCCCCTGACTGTCTGAGATGAATTGCAGTCACTATCCAGATGTCAGGATCCATGTGAGCCAGCTAAGCTGCAAGCTAAGGCCACAAGCACTGCGGTACCCTGGAGACGGCCTTTCTGACAATGCTGCTGCAGAAGTGGTGGAGGGAGGGCACCAGGAGACTGTTTTAGGAAAATCACTTTTGTATTTGAAGTACAAAAATCAAGTACAGTTTTCTATAGAAATTGGAAAAATGTTGAGCAGAATAGGACAACCAAAGTGCTTACTCACAGATACTCCTATGAATCTACACTCTTTTAATTTTCCTGCCTGTACTCCATTTCTGATTTTTGTAGGTGAATGCTGTTGCTGCTAACTGATTTTCTTGCTCATATATTATCATCATTTTTCAGCATTAGTAATACACAGGTCACAGCATTCATTAGCACAGAGTTCTTAGAGGGTTTCTGGGCTTGTTCTGTTCTGTTTTGTGTGGTTTTTTAATGCTAAAAGGAAAATTAAAGTCATCTACTTTAAAGTCATCTAATTAAAGTCATCCTCATTTGCTGGAAGATTTGATACACAAAAATACATCATTTAATTTTTTTCCCTTTCATCCTTGACAAAGTTGTTATATTGGGTTTTGGCACTAGAAAATAGTTTTTACATTCTTAAATTATTGATCCTTTGGCACAAGAGACTTCCTTCCTCTTCCGCAATTAGTACATTAGTAACTTAAGAATGTGACACTTGGGGGACAGTGTAGAAGGAGATTGTGATCTGTTACTGATAGGACTGACTTTAGGAAGAATCTGCAGTGGTTGCTGAAAACTGAAACTGGCTGACTTGCATTGGCAAGACCAAAATTGGACCAACAATGACCAAAAAAAAAACCCAAAAAACAAAAAAACACATACTTGGAGAGATAGCACTCATCTTGGTTTAACCATCATAAACTCCTACCAGGGCCCATCTACCATTTAGGTACTACCTTGGCTTAATCCTTCCACCAGAAACTCCTAGCAGGGCTCATTTCCTTCCACTTTTACCCTGAATCTGGGAATCCTAGGCACTGTCATGTAGTCTCATCTTTCATACAGCCCAGTCTTATTTCAGTATTGTAACTCAAAGAAAGTATGCGGGGGGGAAAGAATGAAAGTAGATTTCCTTTGTATCATCCTGAAAGATGAGCAATATACTTCTACTTAATAGCTTTCAGTTACTTGTCATATAGGAATGTATCATGTCTTCTAGATCTTACTGATAGTGAACCTTCAGTTTCCCCAAGAGCAGGTTTCATACATGATACCAACATTGCCTTTTTGGACCTGTTTTCTCATCTAGAAAATAAAAGCGATACTAAAGGCAGTATAAATACAAACACCTGCAACATTCCTATGACAGTTTTCTGCAAAAATACCCATGAAACAGTCAAATAAAAAAAGTTAATGTTATTCATAGAAACTTAGGTAAGAATAATGGAAACTAGAAGGAATTTTTGCTAGGTAAAGCCTTACATAAGGGATAGATTTTTATAAATGGCTGACTCAAATTCCATGTCAAAATAACTTGTTAGTAAAGCAGGATGACACCTTAGCCTCCCATCATCTGACAGTGCTTATTAGTACCCTATGTATAAGAAAGCTGTTCTAATCACTTGAGGCAACTCTTGAGAGTCCCATCAGAAGAGGCTTTCTGGATTCTTAACCAGTGGCACTGAAGGTGTACTATCCTGGAGCTTTTCCTTAACCAAGTGAGCCACAGCTGGTATTCACCCCCCCTACCTAAAAAAGGGTAGGGGGGTAGTGGTCATAAAAGGGAGGAGTAATGACAAGAGCAGCAAAGTGACCCAAAAAGATCTCTTAGCCTCTACCTATGACCAGATTTAGAATACTTAGAGCAGGATTAAAAAAAAAAAAAAAAGTGTTCTTTCTAGCCGTCTTTCCTAAGAACTTTGGTCTTATCGCAAGGAAGTTCGTTACCGTCTACGCTAAGCCTACATCTGATGGATTTCTTGGGTTTACTGGAAGAACGAAATGGGTTTAACATTTCTGATTACCTGCTGGATCAGCATCAGCACTTGAGTGGACTGAAAAAGAGCTGAAAGCAGTCCTCAGAGTCTGCCAGTTCTGCAGCTGGCCCTGCTAAATCTGTCCTCACTGAGAAATGAATAACTAAATGGACAAGAGGTTTGAACAAGCATTTCACAAAGGAGGCCAGGAAGGAATCACGGTTCCGTTTTTTTGTGTTTGTGTTTTGGTTTTGTTTTGGGGCAGAGGAAAGGAGAATTGGGTAAATTCCTTATCTTTTTTAAAGAAACATTAAAACATTGTCTTTATTACTTTGACAGGTAATGTAAGTTTAAGAATAATTTTTAAATCTATTAAATGTTCGGCCATATTTGTCATCAAGGAAATGCACATTAAAACTCTAGTAAAATACCCTTACACTGTTAAGAACAGCAAAAATTAAAATATTGACAGTACCGAGTGTTGGTGAGAATGGGGAGTAACAGGAACTCTTGTGAACTGCTGGCAGTAGGGTAAATTGGCCCAACCACTTTGGAAATGTTTGACGAATACCGACTAACGTTGAAACATACATCTACACTCAACTCAGTAATTCCACTTCTAAGCAAGTATCCAACAGAGATAAGAACACATGCATACACAAATATATAGAGAAGAATATTCTTAGCATTATTCATAATAACCTCAAAGTGGAAACAACTTGTGTCAACGGAATGCATAGAGTGAGATCCTGCTCTGTAACAAGGACATGAGCTAACTTGCTACATGTAATAATTTGGATGAATGTTATAAACATGATGATAAAAAAAACAAGCCAACAAAAAATGTGCTGTATGATTCCCAGTATAAAACAGTTCAAAAACAAGCAAAATACACCTTTAGGCAGAATGGAGTGGGGAGAAGTCAGAAATGGGGCTGATGGTGTGCTAGTGATCTTGTCTTTCTTCACTAGCATAGTGATAACTTTTTGAGCTATACTCTTAATGGTTTATGCATTTTTTTAAATTTATCTTACACTTCAATTAAAGGTTTTTTCCTTAATGAATTAAGCAAAATCAGCATGAGGCTAATGGGACAGACCATTCTGCAGTATGAGAGAAAAACAAAATCCTGAGGCTTTTAGAAAGAAGGACTTTGTTTTTCCAGTGCATGTATAGTACGAAATATTAGAAAATATCTGCCTCAGCTCCCATCCTGGTGCAACAGAGCATTATGATGATGAGGGCAGAAGAGTAAGAGAGTGGGAAAAGAAAGGGAGAAGCCAAATTAAAATTTGTGTCAGAAACAATAGATAGTCCTAGTGCTAAAGAAAATCTAGCCCCAAATGAAGAAAGATGAATATCAAACTGGTTTTCAGAAATCTGCAGGGTCTCCTAAGCCAACAAAAGGAAGATGTTCACAACCAGATCAGAGCTGCCTTCCTCAGTGTTCTATATTGTGTGTAATAAGCTTCCCTTTAAGGGATTCTGTGGCTTAAAGATGTTACAGTAAACCAAAAGCACCAGAGTAAAAAATAAACTTTAAAAAGCACCTTCAGATGAATTTAGTGAGAGAAAAGGTACAGATTTAAAAGGCTGATTACAAAGATTTATTCTTTGAATAATAGGTGTTCCCAAAGAAAACAAGAACAAATTAAACAATAAATAGTTTTAATAGGAGAATCCTTGATCTAAGAAAAGGCTCAAGTCTAAATGAAGATCCTCTTTTTACACATATAATGCCAGCTGGGATGGAGCAGAATTTTGTAGTTTAGGATTTCTCCAGTCAAACACATGTGACTGTAACAGAAAAACATTCTGTGATATGCAACACACACTACCTACTTGCCCTTTATGGAAAAAATTACTTGAATATAATCACTACATTACCAAAATGAACCAAAATTAGGAAGAAAAGAATGAGGAAAGAAAGTATTGAAATCAATAAAACTATTAGGATAATGCAGATAATTTAAAACATTTATTAAATGATTTATCGCAAGAAAAAATTTTTTAAAGATTTTATTTATTTATTTATTTGACAGAGACAATGCGAGAGAAGGAACACAAGTAGGGGGAGTGGGAGAGCGAGAAGCAGGCTTTCCACTGAGCAGGGAGCCTGATGGGGCCTGATCCCAGGACCCTGGGATCATGACCTGAGCGGAAGGCAGACTCGCTTAACAACTGAGCCACCCAGCCACCCCTTATCTCAAAAAATTTAAATGGGGTTTAATAACCCCAGATTAACTTAATGAAGGCCAGGAAGAGATCCCACAGTTTCTTTTTTAGGATGTGAGATGAGGGGTAAAATCCTATCTTCTGTTAAAAAAAAAAATAAAACTTTTTTACTTTGAAAATTAAATGTAAATTTAAGAATTTTTTGAGGGGTTCCTGGGTGGCTCCATTGGTTAAGCACCCAGTTCGCTCTCAAGTCTTGATCTCAGGATTGTGAGTTCAAGCCCCATGCTGGTCCCATGCTGGGCGTGGAGCCTACTTAAAAAAAAATCTTTTGAAATCTGTTAAGGTGAATAATGATAAAATTAATAACAGAATGTCTCCTGTCCAAATCCTTGAAAAAGATAAAAAAGGAATCGCATATTTGACAAAAGTCAAAAGAAATAAGAATAGCAATTATGATCAAAACTGTTTAAATTGTTTAAATTCTAAAAACAGAATGAAATGAATTACTTCTTCCAGAAGACTTACCTTTAATCAAATTCTGTCACATACGCCTAATACTAAAGTATTTCAGAGTACAGTTAGAGAAAGTATAAATAGCATATTCACTACATAAAATTACAATTTGTAGTGAAGACAACAAACCCTAGAGTTTATATGCAGAATACTATACGATTAAAATGGAGAAATACAAAGGCCTTTAAAATAGTGTAGAGGGGCTCCTGGGTGGCTCGGTTGGGCCTCTGCCTTCAGCTCAGGTCACGATCCCAGGGTTCTGGGATGGAGCCCTGCATTGGGCTCCATGCTCAGCAGGGAGTCTGCCTCTCCCCTCTGCTCATGCTCTCTCTCTCAAAATCTTTTAAAATAATGGGGCACCTGGGTGGCTCAGTCGTTAAGCGTCTGCCTTCAGCTCAGGTCATGGTCCCAGGGTCCTGGGATCGAGCCCCGCATCGGGCTCCCTGCTCAGCAGGAAGCCTGCTTCTCCCTCTCCCACTCCCCCTGCTTGTGTTCCTGCTTTCGCGATCTCTGTCTCTGTCAAATAAATAAATAAAATCTTAAAAAAAAAAATCTTTTAAAATAAATAAATAGTGTGGAGATTATGGTGGAGACCTTAATATGTGTTCTGTGAACTATCATAAGACAAACCAAGTAGAAGGGAACTAAAAATGGGAAAAAAATTATGTATAAAAAATACAATTTTTTCTCAAATGGAATAGTTTACAAATCAATCAGATAGCAGTATTGAATAATAGGTAGCTTAGGGAACCCAGAAACATCTCTTAACTTCTGCACATCAGCTGATTTAGAGCATTTACAGCAAGATTCAAAACAGCCCTCAAACTTGTTCTAAACTTTGTTTGGCCTCTTTGCCCTAAAGGCAAATTGCAAGGAAATCACTTCTGTTCCAAACCTGGACCCTCTGGGCCTCAGCTTTCCTGGAGGAATGAAATGGCTCAGCATTTGGTGCTCACCTGCTGGACGTTCCGTCAGCATCTGAGCAGACTGTAAAAGAACTGAAAGCAATCCTTGCAGCCTGATAATTCCCCTGAAGTGCATTTTATAGGGCAGAAGTTGTACAGGCTGTGTTCTTTGATCACAAGGTAATAAAACCAGATAATAAAAGCATAATCACCTGGAAAATAATTTTAAAGCCCTCTTCTAAATAGCTATTTTATTAAAAAATGCAATGAAATAGAGTGAAAACAAAATGGCAAAAAAGTAGAGGAGGATATGTTTAAAGCTATGCTAAAGGGCAAATTGGTAGCCGTTGTTGCATAGAGGGGAAATGGATGAATTAAACATGTAACACTAGAAACAAAAGTAACAATAAAGATAAGACTCATAAATAAATTAGAAAAAAGTAAAAAGGCACCCTAGCAAATGCATTTTTTAAAAATTCAAAATCAGAAATAACAAAAGGTATGAAAAAACATAGAGGAGACTTAAGTGCCATCCTCAATTATATATTTTAATTTAAACATTTGTTATAAAATGTTAAGTATACCAGTTTAGAATATCCAGTCAACAAGAATTAGAAATCCTGAGCAGGTCAATAACCAAAGAAGAAATTCAGGCAGTTATCAGTGAATTGTAGATCCTTAAATGGGCCCTGATCACTTTATCCATTCTTCCAGACTTGAGAAGCACATTATTCCTCTGGTTTTTAAGTTTTTCCATGCAGCCTGGAAAAAGTGAGTACACACATCCATTTTGCATAAATAACATTACCCTGATAACAAAACTTAAAAGGCAGTTAAAATGAAAGCTATATATTCTTAGTTTACCCATGAATATGGATGTAAACAAATCTAAATAAGGTATTAGAAAGTGCAAATAATATGTTCAAAGAACAATTAACCATGCCTAGTAGGGGGCTTATCCTTTGATGAAAGAGCAATTCACATTAAGAAAAATTATTACTGTAATACTTATCTTCATAGGACCATAATGAGATCTGCAAGTTGATTACTTATCCATTCTTGTGATTGTGTAAGTGCCATGGACAGTTAGATTATGTTTGGTTTCCTTGAAACAGTCACTAGCTGGAGAAATGGGATTAGCCTGACATCTGTAAGTGAAGCAATGTCTAACCCTCCCCTCTAACTACATGATTGCTATATAATGGAGAAACAAAGTATGGATGGGTATCGGTGAGAGAACCAAAATGTCTAAAACAGCTTCTTAGAAAAATAGCTCAATTTATTGAGCCCTTACTATTTGCCAGGCATTAGGCTAATTGCTTTACATCTCAAAACCTATGAAGTATTGTTCTTGTTTTATCAAAAGGAAGCTAAGGTGCTCTGAGAGGTGAAGTAATTTGCCCAAGATCACACAGCCAGCAAAGGGGGAAGCAGCACTTTGGACACAGTCTTCACTGAAACCCATATTCTTAACCAGTACACTAGATATCAACAGCTGTAACAATTCAGAAACTACCATACGCACCAATTGAATATTATACAACAACAGATCCTTCCAGAACTATGGAATAGCATGGGAATAATGCTTACTATTTAGTGAAGACAAACAGTATACAAAATTGCATATAGTGTGGTTTTTAAATTTTTAAGCTAGGGTGAGTTTGAGATGAAGCCAATGTGTGTGTGCTTTTCACCATTTTCCATTTTTCCTTGGTGAACATGTATAATTTTTAAAAATCTAAAAAATATACTGTATCCCCTGCAAGACTGAACGCTTTCTGTAAGTAAAGCCTGTTTATTTTTGTAACCTCCAACTCAGCTATGCACTTTACACATAATGGGCACAAAATGGTTATCTATTTGGACTACAACATAGAGGGTCCTATATATGTCTCTTACTACAGAGATGCTGTAAACAAATCTAAGTTTTCTATAAATATCCTAGTGATTGTTCAGATGCCATTTTTTCAAAATGAGACCCTACTTACTAGGCTGATTCTTAAAGATTCTAATTTTAATTTCAATTTTATGTTTCTGGTGTTTTTTATAAATGTATTAGTGGCTAAATCACAGTCCACATACAAATCTTGGTGATATTTTAAAATAATAGGTAACATTTATTGAACTCTTGCTAAGTCAATACTGTCCTAGGCACTTTAAGACATTTTCCCATTTAGCAGTCCCAACAGTTCCATGGAATTAAAACTGTGAGACACAGAGACGTTAAATGACTTCTGCCAGGACACGCAGCAAGTAAATAATGGAGCTGATAGTCACACTCAGGAAGTATGACTCCATGTCTTTGCTTAAGTTCACACACTGTAATTCAAGTGCTGTTCTTTGTTTAAGAATGAAGTATAAAATCTTTTGTCACAAAAATAAAGCATGTGATGGAGAGATTATTTTATTTCATTTTGTGGCCCCTTGAGAGAGTGGGGTGATAGAAAAGGAGAGAAAAGTATAATTGAGATGAGAGGAAGTGAAGAAAGCAAAAGAGAGAGGGACTACAGATGGCAGAAAAAGGAATGATGACTCAGTGGCTTTGGGGTGAAAGCATTGCTCCCTTTTTTACTTTGGCTGCACAAGCTTAGCTAGCGACCATATTGAGCACCTATGTACTGAGTGCTCAGGGACACAGTGGTGAGAAGAAGAAAAAAAATAGCTTCCTTGCCCTTATGTATATAGTCTAATTCTTATGTAGTTTGAAGAAATAGTGTACTGTAGGGCCAGCTGCCACTTGGGTAGAGCAGGCTGGCTCCTCCCAAACCTCTTTCAAAGGATTCACCCAAACAAAAGAATTCCCTATTACTGTCCCACTTGTTTTGTGCACACCTAATTCTTTTTGTTTGTTTTACAGGTCTTTTTGTTCTGTTTTATTTTTGAGGTAAAAATTATAGTGCAGTGTGCAAATAATAAGTATAAGGTTCAATAAATTTTGACAAATGCATACGCTCTTGTAACTGCTGGAGACAGTTTCCACATGTCTTGCAAGCAGAGGCAACGTCTCTCTTTTCAGGAATGTTTTTATAGTGAACAGTCTTGAAAGGTAATGTCCCCTCTGGAGCAAAAGGCAGGTTTGTTTACTGTCCAGTATGATAAAGATAATGTCTTCTTCCAGAGCAAAGGACAGGTACACTTACTGGCCTTTCTAAAAGATTCAGGTTCCTGAAGGTTGAAGATCTTCAGTTCTGACACAAGCTTACTGCATACACAGCACCAATCTGGGCCCCTCTTTGTTACCTGTTTAAGACTTAGGGGACAAGAGGAACCAATGCAAACATGATGCTCAAACTGCTTATTGTGCTGTGGATAATAAAGTTCTTTGTCTCTGACTCAGGAGTTTGTGTCTGTTGCCAGCATCCACAAGACTGGCAGGCTAACTTGCTGTCTTGCAAGTAGGGTAAAACCTCAGACCCTTCACAGTTCTTGACAGCCACTCTCCTTCAAGATATGGACTTATCCAGGGCGCCTGGGTGGCTCAGTTGGTTAAGCGACTGCCTTCGGCTCAGGTCATGATCCTGGAGTCCCGGGATCGAGTCCCACATCGGGCTCCTTGCTCGGTGGGGTGTCCGCGTCTCCCTCTGACTCTCTTCCCTCTCGTGCTCTCTATCTCTCATTCTCTCTCTCTCAAATAAATAAATAAAATCTTTAAAAAAAAAAAAGATATGGACCTATCCATTGAAGCAGCAGGTTCCCTCCTACCCCTCTCCCATCAGTCTCACAAGAGATGATCCTATTTTTGGTTGTTTTCTTTCACAATAGATAGTTTTTTGCCTTTTCTAGAACATCACATACATGGAATCATACAACAAATACTCTTGTGTTTCCCCATCTCACTCAGCAGGTCTGTAAGATACATCCATGCTGTTGTATATATGCTTGGTCCATTCCTTTCCATGTCTGAGTAGTATTCCATTGTTAGAATAGTCTTCAATTTATCCATTCCCCTTTGATGGACATTTGGGTTGTTTTCAGCTTGCAGAGTAAAACTGCTATAAACATCCACGTGTTTAGTAATGTTTTATTGTATACAGGAGATTGGGAACAAATCATTGTAGAGATTCCAGATTCTGTTATCTGCTTTTGAAGACTGCTCATTTTTGTCTTAGAAGGCATTTAATCTATCTGGACCCAAATTTCCAGCTCCAACTCTTTTGCAATGGACTGCAGCTGAAATTTCTGTTGCAGTTTTCAGCCTTCCCCCTTTTGTTTTTCACCTGCCCCCTTGGAGTCTGTTCTGCGCGAGTGCAGCCAAAGGAATCAGCTAAAAATTAGGATGAGGTTCATTATGGATTTGGGACTCTCTGTGTTGTGACTCTTTCCTTTTTTGATTATACTTCCTAACTTCAAAGTTGTTTGGGCATCTCTAAACTCAGCCAGTTGACTCCTCAGAGCAGTAAGACTGCACTTTTCTGCTTGAGTTCTAGCATCCCTGCACCCAAGAGGACATGAGAGTACCCTCAGGTAAAAAGCTTTATAAACAAATCTCACCCGATGTGATTCCCAAAATGATTATTCCCCTCAGTTTCTGCCTGCTGTTGGTCATTCTCCATGCCTTCAGATAGCTGTTTTTTAATATGTTGCCCAGAGTTTATAATTGTTATAGAAGACTTAGATAAACCTGCTCTATCATTTTCAGAAGCAGAATTCTGCCTAGTATATCTTTATCCCTTTAAGTCTTCTGTGTCATTTTATTTTAAATGTATCTCTTGTAGCTGGTTTTATATTTTTATGAAATCTGATTCTGTTTGCTATTCAATATGTTGGCTTAATCCTAATTTACATTTATGTGATTAATGAAATCTGGATTTATTTTTTACCATTTTATGTGTTCTGTTTACCATTATTTACATTTGCTTTAGTTCTGGTTTTTTTCACTAGATTGAAAAGCTTTTCTCTATTTTCCCCTCACCCTTTATGCTTTCCTCATTTGGAAGCTATAAATTCTATTTCTCTTCCTTAGTGGCCACCCTTATATTCTACATATATATCTGTAAAATTTTTACCAAAGTCTAAAGTTATTCAATATTTCTTCCTTCCAAACAGGAAAAGAAGATTACTGCATTTTTATTTACCTGTTACCAAATTCCTATCTTTTACTGTTGTCTAAAAACTTAGCATCAACTTTTTTTTGGGTGCAATTGTAAATGGGATTGTCTTCTTAATTTCTCTTAGTATCTTTAATTACTTCATTATTGTATAGAAATGCAAAGGTTTCTATATATTAATTTTGTATCCTGTGACTTACTGAATTCGTTTATCAGTTCTAGTAGTTTTTTGGTGGAGTCTTTAGGGTTTTCTGTATATAGTATCAGGTCATCTGCAAATAGTGAAAGTTTTACTTCTTCCTTACCATTTTGGATGCCTTTTATTTTTCCTCATCTGATTGATGTGGTTAGGACTTCCAGCACTATGTTGAATAAAAGTGAGAGTGGACATCCTGTCTTGTTCCTGATCTTAAAGAAAAATCTCTGTTTTTCACCATTGAGTATAATGTTGGCTGTGAGTTTTGCATATATGACCTTTATTATGTTGAGATATGTTCCCTCTAAACCTACTTTGTTGCGAGTTTTTATCATGAATGGACTTTGTACTTTGTCAAATGATATTTCTGCCTTTATTGAGATGATCATATGGTTTTTATCCTTTCTCTTGTAATGTATCATATTAATTGATATGTAAATATTAAACCATGCTTGCATCCCTGGAATAAATCCTATCTAATCATGGTGAATGATTTTTTTTAAATGTATTGTTGATTCACTTTGCTATTATTTTGTTGGGGATTTTTGCATCTATGTTCATAAGAGATATTGGCCTGTTGGGTTGCTTTGTTTTGTTTTGCTTTGTGGTGTCTTTATCTGGTTTTGCTGTCAGGGAAATGCAGGCCTCATAGAATTAATTTGGAAGTATTCCTTCCTCTTCTATTTTTTTGGAATAGTTTGAGAAGAATAGGTATTAACTCTTCTTTAACTGTTTGGTAGGTGCTCGCTTTGGCAGCACATACACTAAAATTGGAATGACACAGAGAAGATTAACACGGCACCTCTGCAAGGGTGACAGGTAAATGTTTGGTAGATTCACCTGTGAGGCCATCCGGTCCTGAACTATTGTTGGAAGTTTATTGATTACTGATTCCATTTTATTGCTAGTAATCAGTCTGTTCAAAATTTTTATTTCTTCCTGACTCAGTTTTGGAAGCTTACACGTTTCTAGGAATTTATCCATTTCTTGTAGGTTGTCCAATTTGTTGGCATATGATTTTTCATAATATTCTCTTACAATCCTTTGTATTTCTGTGGTGTCGGTTGTTATTTCTCCTCCTTCATTTCTGATTTTATTTACTTGAGTCCACTCTTTTTTTCTTCTTGAGTCTGGGTAAAGGTTTACCAATTGTGTTTATCTTTTCAGAGGACCAACTCCTACTTTCATTGATCTGTTCTATTATTTTTTTAGTCTCTATTTCATTTATTTCTGCTCTAATCCTTATTATTTCCTTCCTTCTACTGGCTTTGGGCTTTGTTTTTCTTTTTCTAGCTCCTTTGGGTGTAAGGTTAGATTAGCATCAACTTTTTTATAATTTTTCTAAATCAATATTCAAATATACCAACATATTTTATGCTCATTATTGTTCCTTTTTGTTAAATAACAGTATAGTGATATATAACTTATATACCATAGAGGCACCATGGTTTTTTGCATCTAACTTCTTCCTCTTGGATTCACTTTTCTTCTTGCAACCTTTAGTGGTTATTCCAGTGAAATGTGTTTAGAAGTTTTGTTTTTTTGTTTTGTTTTTTATTTTTATTTTTTTAAATTTTATTTATTTGAGAGAGAGTATAAGCTGGGGAGAGAGGCAGGGGGAGAGGGGGAGAAGCAGGCTTCCCACTGGGCAGGGAGCCCTATGTGGGGCTCGATCCCAGGGTGCCAGCATCATGACCTGAGCCAAAGGCAGACACTTAACTGATTGAGCCACCCAGGCGCCCCTTGTTTGTTTTTTCTAAAGATTTTATTTATTTAGGGCACCTGGGTGGCTCAGTTGGTTAAGCGACTGCCTTCAGCTCAGGTCATGATCCTGGAGTCCCGGGATCGAGTCCCGCATTGGGCTCCCTGCTCAGCAGGGAGTCTGCTTCTCCCTCTGACCCTCCCCCCCTCATGTACTCTCTCTCTCGTTCTCACTCTCTCAAAATAAATAATAAATAAATCTTTAAAAAAAAAGATTTTATTTATTTATTTGTCAGAAAGAGAGTAGAAGCAGGGGGAGCAGTGGAGGGAGAAGCAGGCTCCCCACTGAGCAAGGAGCCCAATGCGGGACTCAGTCCCAGGACCCTGGGATCATGACCTGAGCTGAAGGCAGACATTTAACCGACTGAGCCATCCAGGCGTCCCTATGAGTTTTGTTTTGCTTTTGTCTCTTAAGTGTCTTTATTTTGCTTTCACTCTTTGGATGATAGCTTTTGCCTGAGTATAGAATTCTACATTCAGAGTTCTTTTCCCCTCGGCAGTTTGAAGCTGTTATTCCATTGTGTTCTATCATTTGTATTTCCCAGTTAGAAATCTGATATTGATTTAATTCTTTATCATTCCTTTATAGTTAATTATTTTTTTCCTCTTTGGTAATTACTTTTAAGATTTTTCTATTTTTTCTTAGTTTTGTTAAGAAGTAGTTGATAAATATCCCCATAAAAGGGGTACAGCATGATGACTTGATTTACTTTATTTATGTTTGATATGCTGCAGTTTACTATGAAGTTTCTAGATATGAATTTATGTTTATCCTGCTCAGTATAGAATGCACTTTTAATCTTAGGGGTTATTCTTCAATTTTGGAAAGTTCTTTGCCACTATCTCTTCAAATACTGCTTCTTTGTAATTTCTCTATTTCCTCCTTTTGGAAATTCCATCAGTTAGAGTCTCTCATTTTGTCCTCTGTGTCACTTATTTTCTCGTGCTTATTTTTAAAAATCTCTTTCTGTTGCATTCTGGGTTAATTCTTCAGTAATGGTTTCTAATATAGGATATCTCTCTTAGACTGTGTGCAGACTAGAGTGCCCATTGAGTTTTCTATTTCAATAGGTATGTTCTTCTAATTTTTAATTCTTCCTATCTATTTTTATCATGCCTGATTTTGCTTCATAATGTCTTATTCTTTTTTAAAATTCATATGTCTTGGGCACCTGCGTGGCTCAGTCGTTAAGTGTCTGCCTTTGGCTCAGGTCATGATCCTAGGATCCTGGGATCGAGTCCCACATCAGGCTCCCTGCTCGGCAGGAAGCCTGCTTCTCCCTCTCCCACTCCCCTGCTTGTGTTCCTGCTCTCGCTCTCTCTCTCTCTCTGTCAAATAAAGAAATACAATCTTTAAAAATAAAAATAAAATAAAATATGTACGTCTTGCTTCATCTCTTTGAGGATATGAAACAGTCTTTTTTCTTTCTTTAGATTGTCCTTTTACTTCAATTTAATCTAGAGAAAATAATTGTTCTGATTATTGACTTTATAGCAGTGTTTTTTAATGGTAGATGTCTTCATGTGCATTGGAACTTTGATTTCCCTGTTTATTTTGAATGGGAAAGTTGAATGGGAAAGCTTGTTATCTACAACTTTCTATCTAAGGATTTTGCACTTGGCCAACATGCTCCCTGGGTCTTTAGTCTCAAATCAGGTCTTACATTGACAATTTGAGATTTCTCCCCTGTGTTGATTAGTTATTGCCAATAGTCTCAAAATCTCAGTAGTACACAGCAATAAGTATTTATTATGCTCACAAGTCTATGGGACAGCTCTAATTCAGACTGTGGGTCTGTAGTCAGCTTGGGCAGTACCACTTGTGTTCATTGTTGAGCCCAGGCTGAAGGAGAAGCAGCTATCCAGGGGAAGCTCATCTCATGATCAAGGCAGGAGCACAATAGAGCAAAACCCATCATGCAAGCATTTCAAGCCCTTGCTTATATAACATCTACAAACATCTAATGGCAAAGCAAGTCTGATAGTCAAGCCCCAAATCAAGGAGCAATTTAAATATATTCTTCAAATTTAAAAATGCAAAAGGTGGACACAAAGAAGGGTGAAGGATTGAGGCCAGGAATCAGTTCAGTCAACCACAGTCCATCTTCTTGGCCACAATTATTTATATGTGTCCCACAGAAAAACAGATTCACCCTTATCCTAAGACCCCCAACAGCCTCATCTAATCATAGCATTATGATCAATATCCAGTAATTCATGATATACATCAAATTTGGATGTAGTTCCCATTGATCTGGAAACCTGTGAACTAAGTTATATGGGGGGGAATATGTGTGTGCAATCTTCACACACAATCTTTTTTTTTTTTTTAAGATTCTTACTCATTTGACAGAGAGAGAGATAGAGCAGGAACACAAGCAGGGGGAATTGGAGAGGGAGAAGCAGGCTTCCCACAGAGCAGGGAGCCCGATGCAGGACTCCATCCCAGGACCCTGGTATTATGACCTGAGCCGAAGGCAGACATTTAACGACTGAGCCACCCAGGCGCCCCTTCACACACAATCTTATATACCACATGGAATGATAGAACCTGGGATAGGATAACTACAATTAACTCCTAGTAAAAAGAGAGAAATTAAAAGGCATTATTAGCATTCACTTGTTCTAAAATACCAAAGGAAAAATGTTATGGGGTACCCCTATTCTGAAAAGAAAGAATTTTCCTTAATTAGACTCTAATTCTTCTCCCTAACAGTGTGTCTCCAATCCATTGTTCTCTACTGCTCTTGGTTTCGTCTCCCAGAAGGTGAATTCTTTAGAATACACAACATTCTTAGTTACAGCAATATCCTTAAGTTTAATATCCTGCCGCCCCCACCTCCCCCAGGCTGAATCTGAGACTCCCTTACTGGCTGGAGGTGAAGAGGTTTATTTGCTGAATAAACAAGTTCTGGACTCTGAAGTCCTCTAAATACTCCTTGCAAGTTGGCAGGGGTTTTTCTCCCCCAAATGTATCTGTTTCTTATACCACCTTAAAAAATAGAACTAAAAGTAACTGGCTCATACTTTGAACATATGCCTAGAAATCATCCCTACTATCCTTCATGTTATAACAGGTAACAGTTTTATTAAACACATGTTGCCATTTTTCAACTTCTATAATAGTTTTCATGCCATCCATCACCTGTCCTCTAAGCTAATAGCATGTTTTAGGTTTTTGTTACATAGCATCCCAGTATTAGGTTTTCTTTATCAGCTAGCTATTGCTGCATAACAAACAACCACAAAATCTTAGTGACACATAACAATAAGCTCTTAATTCTCTCGTGGGTCTGCAGGTGAGATACAGCAGCTTAGGTGGCAATGGCGAAAGCAGCTCTGCTTCACATTGCAGGGCTGTGGGCAGGTATGGCAGTTCAGCTCTGCAAATAGTCATGCTAGGGCCCGGGTTGAAGAGTGGCAGCTACTCTGGGGAAAACCCTTTTCAGTGAGGTGACAGAAATACAAGAAGGTAAGCCCCATCAGATGAGCACAAGCCCCTGCTTTCATCACATCCACTAATATCCCACTGACCAAAACAAATTCCATGGCTGAGCCCAAAGTCAAAGGGTGGAAAAGTGTGTTGACTTTTGGTGGAAAGAACTTCAAACTTAGAATGGCATAGGACATAGAGAGGGGAGAAGAATTTGGGCCAGTAATTGATCTCATCCTCCATGGTAATATGTGAGATGCTGGTTGCCAGCTTGCACTTCTGTTCTGCCTCCAGAAGCCCCCAGGTTCCCATAAAGTTATAGGGCCAAGAAGTAGCCAACAGCAGCTTTTTAAAGTTTCCTTGTAAGGGTGTGGAAGGAAGTGAGGATCCCCCGGCCCGGCATCTCGTTTTAGGCAGCAAACCTGTCCCTGACCCACCTCATCTAGGGCACTTTTATTCTCCCCAAAAGAGAATGTAGACTCTCAATTGCTTCTGCCTACTTCACGACCCACTTCAGCAGGCCCATGGCTCCAGCCCCCATTTGTTCATAGCATTTCTTTTCTGTTCCTACCTCACAGAAATGCTGTATCTTATTGAACAAAGTTGTGTCTTTTTTTTAAAGCTGTGTGTTTTTTCTTTCATATGTGGCACAG